TGTTTATCCATTACTCAAAAGTAAATCAAAGTGTTCTCTTCTTTTTCCTTTTTTTTTTCAAATTAAGGAGCAAAGATTCAATGTTTCCGGCGTTCGATTGTCTTTCATCTAATTGAAGGGTATAATTGGACTTGAACCGAAAAAGTGTTTTTATAATTTAGATGGTATTAAATTGTAAAATATTAATAATTAAATTTATAAAATATTAATAATTAAATTTAAAAAATGTTTTTTAAAATTTTAAGTTATATAATAAAAATAATTTTTTATTTTTTAATTTATTCTATTTATATATTACATAATTTAAATTTAAAACTTTTTATTTAAAAAAAATTATCATTAAATTATTTAAATTTAAAAAAAAGAACTTAATATTAAGAAATCACTCGTTATACAATAAGTAGTATTTCACCGGTAAAACATTTGACTCTTTTTATTACAAGACCCAAAAAAAAAAAAAGGGACTCTTTTTTAAAACAGTCCAAGCAAGAGATTTAGTCCGAAGGAGTTCTCCCATTTGAAACCCACGCGCAACAAAAGTTGGAGTGTGGAAAATCCAAAACTCACCGCCAAGGACTAGGTCCTCCTAGCAGAAGCATGCCAGGGGCGGTCCACCACGTTGGTTTTTAATATAAATCCGCCACCAGGCTCTTCATCTTAATACGCTCAAATTTCCGTTTCAAAATGCAGACTTTCCTTCCTAGATAGCCTCAAAAATCATCCTCCGACTTCTCCACCCAATCACTACCCAGATTTCCTCATTGAATCTCCCACACAAATTCCCCATACCCATTTTCCCAAACCCCAGAGAATCTTGTTTCTTAGGTTGTCTCCGTGTTGCTTTTGGTGGAAGCAGAGTCTAAGACTGCACACTGTTTGTGGTGCCTTTTGGGTTATGGATTCCAGGAGGAGACAGAAAGGGAGTGGTCATCACCGTCAGGACATGCAGTGGAGAAGAACACAGGACAGAAAGCAGCCTGCGGGTATGCTTGTTTTACCTTTGAAATTTGCTCTCGTTTTATGGGGTTTTAGTATCTGTAACTGTAAGTGGTTTTGTTTGGCATTTTGATGTCTCCTTGTGTTCCTAGAAAGTATGCACGTCTTTTGGAATTTCATGAACAATTATTTTTGTGATCCTTAATGTCTTATATGTCAATACGATCTTGTCCTAGTTAATGATTGCTCATTTTTGGTTAAGTTTTTGTGTTTTTGGTTATATAAATGAATATTTTGAATTAAGGAAATCAAGAGGTAGTGGATTCCTACAATTACCCTGAATTTCCCCTCTTTTTGGGTGTTGGACAAATTTGTCTAGAGAGAAGTAGTGTTCTTAGTGGTTAATTTGTGACAATTTGGTGTACTCAGGTGCTTTGCGAGTTGCTATCGATCCATAACTCTGATATGGACTATATGGGGTCGCAGGATTGAACTTCTCTTCTGAGATTGTTGTAACTGCTTTCTGTTATAACTGCTTTTCCAAGTTTACTGAGTAACTTGCTTCGGCTTCCAATATTTACTGGAATATTGATATCATGGTACTAATATGGAAGCGATCACGTGTTAACACTGCTATTCCTTTTATGAACATTAGAACTATGCTGGGGAACAACATGATACCAGGAGGAGTTTATTATTATGCTAGAAGACAATCAAATGCCCATAATGTGTCATGTTATTAACCTTTGCTTAGCTTCATGGTTGTCAATGTTGCTGTTGTTTTCAGGTAGTTTTTGCTATAAATAGCTTTGCATAATTATCATATTCAGAGTTAAATTAAATTTCAGGATTGTGTTTCCCATTGTATTTTCTTGAATCCTTTCCCTTATCTGAAGAATTTGGCTTTACTTTTTGCTTCTAATAAATTTTCCCTTCATTGATTACATTTGTTGAGGTTGTAGTTTTGGCATGGATAAGTCAACTGACATATCAAATCCTTGTTTCCCAGCTAGTTGGCAGCCAACTGTGCCAGTATGGGAGAGGAATTTCTGTACTTTGATTGGTTGTGTTCCTTGGGAGAAGCTCTTGGAATTGCATAGGTCTATGCATCTTTACAACAATGTGCTCAAATGGAATGACTCAGCTGGTGAAGAGGCATTCAATAATGCTAAAACCCGGTTTTGGGCTGAGACTAATAACCTGCCTTGCAACATAACATTGCCTGATCCTGATATGTACATTGATGAAATAGATTGGAACTCTGAAGCTGATCCGGAGCTGCTGTTGGATTTGGAAAGGGAACCCAAGACTCCTGATGAGATTGATAAAAAGGAGAATGTTGTGATTCTTGGAAGTGCTCTTCTTTCGAACCAATCTTTTTCTTGCACTGGATGGGGGGATGCGGAAGAGGATTTAGGGAAGCATAATGTTGTGTCTTCTGAAAATAAAAATGGGAACATGGAAAATCCTAGTGACCATTGTTGTCCACCAAGAGAAAGCAACAATAAAGATTCTGGATGGGGACAACTTTGTGATTCTTCTTGGGAATGGAACCAGAGGGAGACCAACAATGAATCCAGCAACATAGATAATGGAAAGGTTGGGGATTGGGGAAACAAGGTCACCTCTGGGAGGAAGAGAGAAGGAGGTGGTCAGTACATGTCAAGGTATAAGACCTCGAGGTTTCAAAGCAATAATAGGGAGACAGATCATGGATGGAGAAATGTAAGAAGACATCAGGAATCTAATTTTGCCTATGAACGAGCACCAATGAATTCAAGGCAGTGGAACTCAATGAATGATTGCTGGCGAAACCATAATAATGGATTTAGTGAAGGTGGAGTCCCCCGGAGGTATGAGAAAAAAGTTTTGTGAGTAAAATAATTCTTCCCTATTTTTAAGAGTATATAGTTCTGTAGATTGTTGGTCTCATATTATTTAATTCCTTGTTCCATAAGGAAACGAAAGGTATATATAATAGGATGGCAGCAGCTTGGATGAATTTGTTTGTTGGATTTGTGGCAGTTGTGTAGTCTTGTACATCCCATTGAACCTGAAACTTCAACCTGCACCTCTGCTGAGCCTTACCCATGCCACCAGACCTTAGCTGCTCGGCCTCCACCACCAAACCAACCGACCCATGTAGGGCACACCTGTTGTTCTTTAAATGATTGATGTGCGATTTTCTTTTCATTTTGCTTCTTCAGCTGGCTTCATCTGAAATTTTGAGCATGGTTTGCAATTCTGAATGTTTTCCCTTGATATGTTTCTGGTAAAAGAGGCAGCTTGTACTTCATTATAACGTTTTTATAGGTTGGATTGTATATATTACGATCAGAGATACTTTCGTATAAGTAATTTCCTGTAAATATTGAAAATTTTAAGTCTTGATGTTCTTGTACCCTCAGTGTTCTCATGATCTTGTAAGAAAGTGAAATGGTGTTTGGATATAGGTATATGGTGGAAATTCAGACGTTGGAACTCACGGTGCTAACTTGCTTTGTAACAATAGAATTCTAAATACCGTCCAAATGATATTGAACCATGGTTTCATTTTTTCACAAATCTTATGCAGCCTAAGAGTCAAAAATACAGCTGAACAGAAAAATTAAGACAAATACAAGATGTAGTCGGATGGTGATCTCACAAAAAGTACATTAATGCTTCAATACTATTGTCAGTTTTTGCTCCCGAACAATGTCCAAAATCGCAGGTCATTTGTTTCCACCGAAGGATGTATAGAACACTCAAATGTTTGTTAGGAAGAGATTTTGCAGCTCTTTAATGTCGCTGCCTTATTTATACCAACCAGCGAGTAAGTACCTCAGGAGGAAACAGAAGCAGCATCCCACAGCCTGTGAACGAAATAGAAAGGGAAATATATGAATGAGTCAACAGTAAAGAGTCGCACGTCTGCTTTCGCTTTGTAAGAGGAAATGAAGTACAGAAGACATGCATCTTGAAAACAAAATTATAAGCGTTTATTATTATTTTGGTATGTAGTAAGGATTGAACTCTAGACCTATGATTAAGAGTGCAAATAACTCTATCACTAGATCACATAGTTGATGATGATAGAAACTATTAATTATTAACTGGTTAAACATTTTTTTCCACTTGAAGATGACAGAAATCTAGTTTATAGGTTAAAGGAAAGTAATGAAACCTGAACAATGAGAAGGTGGATGCAGAGTGACTTTTCTGATTTTGGCCCAAATATTCTCAAGTAAAAGTTAACTAGTGTCCCGTCGGGTGTCCCAGTAAGTAGTCCAGTTTCAGGATTGAACCTAAGATGAGAAAAGCAACATTTAAATTACAAAAATGAGAGATTGATATCCAGAACAGCCTTCATAAATCAATGCTGAGGAGAGAAATAAGGAGTTACCTAGGCAGACGATGCCGAGGACATTTGACAAAGCCGAAAAGCTAACAAAATATAATGCCCATGTTAATTAGATACTTTTTCACAGGTTGTAGCCAGTGCTATTATAATAATCACACAGGGAGATTCATCGAACAAACCTGAGGAACTGATAAAAGAAAGTTTAACACTTGAGGAAGAAAGAAAATCAGCAGTGTTTCACTGTAGCAGGAAAGCACAAGGGAGGAAATCAATGTGTGTTAATAATATAAGCAAGGTAGTACAACTAAATTAAAGTTCAGTGAATGTAAATATTAAGCCAAAATAACGGAGCAGAATGGGAAATTGGGCGAGGATCTTCACTTATGCCTGATTCTATTCCGAAAGAGGCTGACTATGTGTGAATATGCATCAGGTGCCAAATTTACACTAGGGCAGAAAACAGGTTTTTCAAGTTAATTATGCTTGTTTTGACTGTGCTTAATCGTTTTGACAGTAGCTTAATCATTTTGACCAGTTGCATCATAGGAGTGCAACAATTCCTTTTTCGGCTGAATCAAAATAAGACCCAATTCTTAATCATGAGACCAGAGATAGCCTGGTCTGTTTCTTTTCCTTTAATGAGAATACTGTTCTTAGTAATAAAACTAAGATATGTGAAATTTCCAGTGATTACTCTTAAGTGTACTTTCAAAGTAAAATTTTAAAATCAATTGTTATCCATGCACGATCATGAGTAGTTTTTGATCTGTGAATCAATCTCTCTCTCTCTCTCTCTCTCTCTCTCTCCCCAAGGGTGCTTTGGGGTGGAAAGGGAAAAAAAGAGAATAACTTAAAGCTGCAAGTAAAAAATGGAAAAAATATATATATATTGAAAAGCACTACGAACACACCTATAATGTCCTAGAATCCCGACAACAGCCATGGTCATTCCAGCAAAGACAGTGTATGTATCACCAACAAAGACGGAAGAAGGATACCTACAGGCAAGAGAATCAAAATTTCGTTAGGAAGGGAAGACTATCAAACAAGAATAGCATTTATAGAACAACTCAGTATTGAAATAATGTCTCATTACCAGTTGTAAGAAAGCAAAGCCAAGGAGGTGGCCAATAGCGGTTGAACAAGATAAATAGAGAATGCATGGGCCTGCTGATACTCAGGGTTTGAAGATGCTCCAATTTGCATGATATTATGTACCATAATCTGCAAAGTACAAAGATATGTTAATCTCAAAAAAAAAAAAAAAAAAAAGGAAAGAAAGAAAAAGATTCTTTATGTTCTATTTCTATGCTTACAGCAAATGCAATGACAACTGTTTGCCCAACTTCAAGACCATTCAAACCAGCATGAATGTTAATGGAATTCGTGCAGAAGACTGCCAGAAGTGCCATATATAATTTATAGATCCATCCTGTCAGAAAAAAATAAAAATTTAAATTAACCTTAGAATAACTCAATAATCTAATAAAAGAAAATAGAAAACTATGAAATAAATGATCAAGATCAGCATCTAGAACATGAAAGATATCTACAGAAACATGTATAATCTGTTTCACCTTGACATAAACCCTGCTTACGTTAGCTGTGATCAAGAACTGAATGTCATGGATCTCAGAAATTGAGCTCTCCAAATGAGAGAGCAAAAAAGAGGAGCTTACAACTACATTCCAGAAGAGAGCAAGTAACCAAATGGAGAGGAAAGGAACTACATCTTACAAACAAGTCAACTTAGAAGTTTCTGAAGATTCTCATTCACATATAGAGAGACTGGCAAATAAAACCAAGAAACTGGCAAGCATTTGAAATTATAAAATGAGTGGAAGAAGAAAGTACATCAAGGAACAGAATTATTTAAAAAGACAAGTATAGAATAATTTCTAAAGTTATATAACAGAAGTGGATAAATTCCCTTCCTAGTATCACTAAAGATGCAGAAACTAGATGGATCTCCAACTCTTGAATCGGAAAGATGAAAGGATTCAAAAGTCATAACCATATCCAGATCAGTAATTCTCCCAATCAATGATGAAATCTCATCTCTTTACTACCAATCAAGTTAATAATTAATTCTGAAATTTATTTGTTTCTTTGTTAATGCTAAATTAATTATAAACATTAGTTCATACCTAGATCCAACACCTCTAGCCCAACATATGGAATTAGAGGCTTTGGAATGATGATGGTTGTATGTCCAGCATATGCCATCAACAGGGGAAGAGTAGCAAATGATGGCAGTAGTAGTTTCCTGCTCCACATGGTAATGTCATAAGCATCAAGCAAAATATTATCTCAAAAGTTGATATGAGGACAAAAATGACAGGAATCTTAACACATATACAAAAACCTTAAATGATGCATACTCACACTCTCCAAGGAACATCCAGGACGTCATCTACAAATCCAAGCAAAATCATGAAGCAGATAGATGCCAATGCTGCATTGTACTCAACAAGCCACTGCATAAAGGAATAGTCAACAGCTCAATCGTCAATTGATTGAACAACCACCAAAAAATAGGCTAGTTTGATGTAACCACATCCAAGAAACAAAACAACCAACATAAAGCTAGAGAATGGGTGACATGAAATTGGAATGGAAGTAATAAGAAAAGCAAAACCTCTCAAAAGCCAAAATATGAAAGGGAATCACCCTAAAATTTTTATTTGAGCTCAGCTAAGTGCATTAAAGCTAATAACCATTCACACCTCAAAATTGGTATCAGGCATCAGTAGTTTTTCAATTTTCTGAAACTTTCTTGTAGATACCCTAGAACTGAACCAGTTCTAAGCAGTGTAAGATTTAGTAGGGATAAGAAAGAAAGAAAATGAAAAGACAGGAACTTCTTGCGATAAAATACATTTCATACTTACGTTTGAATCTGCTGTGAAGTTAAAATATTGGAACACGATTGCCAAGACCAAGAAGATGATGCCTACAACAATTCCCAATGATTCAGGCCTGCCAAATACTCAATATTATCAATAAGTAGATTTTCATATGAGAGTTTGTCATGGAATTAATCAGTTATGCAGATGAAGTCTATCAGAACATATGCAGGGATCTAGCAACATAAGTGAAAATCTAAAATCTAACGCATCTTTGATTCACTTAAGATAAAGAAAATTTGAATAAAAACAAGTCCCCCTGCATCTCAAGAACTTTGATAAAGGATGGAGAAGAGATTTTAGCATCTACCAACCCTACAAAGCAAGCTAGAAAAAGAAACGGATAGTTAATATATAACTGTAACAATTAAAAGATAAATATGAAAATTTAGAATTTAACAGGTGGGAAATTTTATTAATTCATGTGATAATGATATTGACATTTAAGAAACAGAAAGGATAATAAGAAAGCTGAGACATTTATTTGATTGAACAATGCAGGTGGCAACTAAGAATCCAGGGAATGCACAGTTAGCACTAATGAGCGTAGTAGAACTAACGACTCTTTAAAAGCCAACGAATTTCATGAGAAAAAGAATCCTAAACAAGAACACATTTCATGAATTGGAATCGAAACCCATACCCAGTTTATTAATCGAAATGGAATTGCAAAACCAACATACACCCAGTTCCCCAAATGAATCAAAACCTATATGAAACAAAGGATGAAAAGAAATTGGACTCACACTTTAACAGTTCCTTGAGGGGTACCCTTCTTGTTGATATCGTACCCAAACAAGCTGCGCCTCAGAACATATCTAGAAGCCACGGGTATCATCTTGAGAGTAACAAAGAAGCCGGCAAGACTGAGTCCAGCATTGATAAGGATCGATCTCTTCAACTCTTGTTCGAT